CTTCTTTGTTTCACCTCGCAACAGCAAATGGCATCTTGAATTCGGAAGAAAATCGAACTAGTAGCCAGACAATCGTTTTCAGGTTGTATTCAAACATCGACTGGCTGTGGAAGATAAGAAACCAAATTATGTCATTGCTAATATCCTTGAAGGACAGAGGTACACGTTAAAAACACATCCGTCAAAGGCACCCACTACCGGTTTGTTTTTTTTTGATCAGTCTTGGAAAAGCTGCGAACTAAGTGGCTATTTTATACTTTCATTGTGAATTCGGTGAGGAACTGCAAGCCAATGGTGAGAAACCTGCGACCTCATCAGAAGGGTGGCCATGTGTTTACACAACTGGGTTGTACAAAGCATCAAAAAATGGTGAGTTTCGTCCAAATCATTGTTTTGCTCCATATAATGTTCTGATTTCTCTTCTTTTACTAAACTATGATTATTCCACTTTCTCCATCAAGCGAGTTCCGCTTCCGAAGCTAGCCCTTGTTCAAAGTTTTTTTTCTTTCTATTTTATGGTGTATGTTCTGGTTTTTTTTCTACACCCTTTCTCTTTACGTTTACACTTTCCTTTTTCTGTCTTTGCATTTTCTTTTCGTTGAGAATTTTTGTGATCTTGTAACTGCCCGCGTTTCAGACCCTCTTTTTCGTTTTTTAGCAGCGTTAATACTTCGCGACTAGACCGATTTTGTCGCACCATTTGGAAATCGGGGCCGTCTAGGACCGATGCAGTTCTTGATTCAGTCTCGTTTAGCCCGAACCTCCGTTTTTTTTTGCAGCGGTCCTACAACAGAATATGGACGCTGTCGGTCACAGTCGCGCGATTGAATCGCTCGATAATTTTTTTTTCGGAACGTAGAGATCTGTTTACGTGGAACCACTAGCAAAATCGACAGAATTTCATGAAAGTCAGTTCCGCTTCATATGGTGTGCGGAGCTCCCCTTAGGCAAGGTACTCTTGTCTGCAAGCACTGAGGATGTCTCACTTATTCTCCTCTGCTTGAAAATGCTTGATACGACGACACCCAGCGGCGACGAAGGTAATGATCCGCTACTAGATCTTTTAAGAGTGAAGTGATTAGGAAAAGGAACTGATATAGCTGTTGAACCATTAATAAGAAGTCTTCCCATGAGCCCTCTCTTCGCCCCATGCTCATCTAAGTTCATATCGGCAGGAGGTAGTATCGGGGGCATATTGGAGGCTTTTCCTTCTATTAGGTTGTACGGAAAGTTTTCAGTGTTTCGAGTGTTTCTTTTCAAACGATCATTACTTCCTTAATACTCATCGGATTTAATCGAAATAGGCACGTTCGAATCAGCACACTATTGCCAATGTGATACCATTCGACATATCCCATCAAAGAAAAAACTGGGTGGTAGAGAATCCACGAAGTCCATGTAGGCCTTTTTCGCCTGGTCCTGATTGATGAAGTATTTTCCAGCAAGGAAGTTCTGAAAATGTCTGAAAAGGTGATAGTCGGTTGGTGAAAGGTCTGGAAAATATGGCGGGTGAGGTAGAACTTCAACCTCCAATTCGTTCAATTTATGGATAGTGACATGTGAAACGTGTGGGCGGGCGTTGTCATGCAGAAGAATCGGACCCTCTATGTTGACAAGTGCTGGCTGCAGCTGATGCAAATTTCGGTACATTTCGTCAATTTCTTCACAGTAAGACTCTGCTGTGATGGTTTGGCCTGGTGACAAAAAGTTATAGTGGATCACACCAGCCGATGATCACCACACTGTGACCATAACCTTTTTTGGTGGAGATTTGGCTTTGGAAATTGCCTCGGTGGTTCGTCGGCGTCCAACTACTGTCCGTAACGTCTCCTGTTATCACACAAGATCCACTTTTCATCACAGATGACAATTCGGTCACCATGCTTTGATAAACGTGTTTGGATCAATTTTGAATTTGTCTACAACTTCTTCTTTGAAACCTGTGGAACGATTTCTTTCTCGTCATGTTTTTTTTTCTTTTCAGGGTTCAAATCAGCATCCTATGCAGTAGTTTGGTCTGATAAGCGACACGGTAATGACACCATGCGTCGGCTGGCGATGGTCCCAGTCACCTTGTTCCGAGCCCAGTTGGCTGCCATTGAAGAGGCGCTCAAACAAGTAAGTATTGCACTTTCATGTTGACTTTCCCGTTTGAGGATAAAGGATAAAGTCTCGCCGTTGATCAATACTTTTTTGAGTTGTGGCACGCATTCTACTTCCATTCAGAATTGTAATGGCTTAATGAATACGATGTGACGTATACAATGACCTGCGGGGACCAGTCGATGTACAAGTCAGTGTACTTATCCTCCCAGACCAATATGCTACCAATTCACCGTCTACAGAGGTACAAGCTTGGTTTGTCTGGGCAGGAGCCGATCGAGGTTTTGATCCCCAGCCGTGCACGTGGAAGGCGTGCCACTTGCCACTACACCCTCGTCACCTCGTCCTTTTTTACACTCACTTTTGGCTTAATTTTAATGACAAATTCTGGAATCCTAGTTCAGTTGATGCACAATATCGCGTGTATTACATCCTGCCCTCTATGTAGCTGAATGCTTAGAAGATATCCAAAGTTTGCAACTACTTCTGCAAGAAACCATTAAAAACCGTCGTTCTATAGAGTTGACCTATGACTGATTGCGTTCTCTTTTCTAACATGAAATTTTGTGTGAAGAGAACCGAATAGGATTCCCACGCACTACACATAATTTAATAGATAACTTCTCGCTCGTTTCTCTGGAACGCGGCGGTTCGGCGGAAAGCTTTCGATACGTATCGACTGGCGGTCGGAAGAGTCTGGCGGTTAGGTGAAAGGGTTCTGATGCGAATCGACGGGCGTTTTGCCAAACCGCGACGTTTTTTGCCTTCGACGAAACGCTAGCTCGATCGCCGTGGCGTTTTTCGCCAGCGAAATCGGTACACATCTATTGCTTTTCGCCCAACTGCCGAACCGCGGCGATTCGGCGAAACTAGCTGTTGGCGATTCTCCGACCAACGCCTATTTTTTGCTTTTCTCCCAACCACCGTTTCGTCAGGGTCGCAGCTGTGAACAATGCCTAAGGCAAATTCGTAACTTTCTCTGTTTTGAAAAAAAGCTGAGCGTCAGGATGACTAATGTGAGCGTCGTTTCAAGCTATTCAGAGCTACGAACTTAGAAATCGTAATTTTGCATCGCACAAAGTCCCTGCTTGGAGCGGCTGCGTGTGGAACCCATACACTAACTTTTACCTTGAATTTACATTTAACTCCAAGAAGGGCCGCAGTAACCTGCTACTTTCTTCGCTCGAAAATGGACGGGAACGCGAGTGGAGGGTGTTGATATTCAGGTGTCGTCCCCATAGTTCACCCGCGCTATTCTGAATGTGTAGAATTGCGTCGATATCTCGCAACTAAAGGCACACTCAACGAGAGAATAATCAGAAGTGAGAGGGCGCAGAGGATAAGCGTGTTTGGCTATGGTTAGGCGTGTGACTAGCCTTGCGGCAGCGTGGGTTGATTGTGGAGACGGCGCCCAGGTATCACCACCCTCCAGCCCCGCTCCCCTGAACTTTTGGCCGGAGCAGTTGAAATTGCAAGTGACAGGCTACTGTACCCAGCCACCTTATGCATGGCAAGGACCAGCATCCATTGAGGTAAATGTACAGTTACCCTTTAAATCTTTCCCATCCAGTGACGAGGACGCTCAGTGAGTGAGTAGAATCGATCTGATCTCTGATGATTCCCCGTTATCTGGCATAGGTATTCATGAAAGAGCTGATACAGTAAAGCTCCATTCGTATTAGTTGAGGCATCCAAAGCGATGCTTTCCGACGATATTGAAATAGCAATCCTAGAATTATTTGAACCAATTCTGAGCTTTTCTAGAAGGAACCCTTCTTGGCCGAAAATTTTGTGAAAGAGATTCTGCGGTTTTGGTCTGAACAGTTTTACAGTTTTTTTGTACAGGCAGTTTTGGTCGCTTGAAAATTAACAGGAATTGAATCCAAAAAAACTAAGCTAGGCACACCGCCTCACAGAACAAGGGACTCTCTAATTAAGGGTATAAAAAGCACTGCAGACTACTTCATCTTCGGGAAAAAAATCCGCTAGGGGCCACTACTTAAGGGCCAACCCAGTACGTTCCAAAATAGGGCGCACGAACGCTTTGTAGGAACGGTGTTCGATCGGGTCTTTTGTGCGCAGCTCTCGATTGAACGAAGGTTGTTCACTTACTATTGCCTAGAGTTTATGACTCTTACTGAGCGTTAAGCTTGGCAGAAACCTGGATTTCTAACCTCTCTAACGGATCTTATGACAAGAGCAACATTTTCTGCTGGATACCTAGATTTGATCAGACTTCGTGAAAGCTCTGAACATGGTATGAAGTTCATCGTGTCCCTCGAGCAAAGAGAGTCCATTGGGCAACTCTTGCACGTTGCAGGGACGTATGGAGACGTCACTGGCGCCCGCTCGAAGAACTCGATGATCAACGGGAGCACAGGTGATACTTAGATTTACTGCCCACCCAGCCCCATGACTTGAGTTTTTTTCTTATGAAGATAGAAACGGCTCATTGACTTCAAGACCAGTCCACCCTATACAATCTTACGGGTGCCGGATCGAAGTGAACTGTCCCAATCTATGTCTCGAGCAGTCTTGATTGTTTTGCCATCGTTTACATAAAATTTAATGAAAGATCTAGATGAACATACACATGGCAAACCTAAAAATCCCAAACACCACGGAGGTAACACTTCATCATTGCATGCAAATGCGTTATCAACAATGATTCCCCCGGCGCGAATTTTCAGCGATGAAATCCTGAATCCATTTCACAACCAGCGGCTGAAAGCGTTAATTGTTGAATTTATGGTGCCACAAGTTTCCGATAACCTTACTGAAACCAAAGTAATTTATGTCAGCGTTTTCCTCAAGATCCGTGCTCTTGTGGTTACATTATCTATTTACAGGCTGTCGACAACCGGCTGTCGCGAGTTGTTGTAATTACTGATTCGCCG